ATCCAGCGAGCAAGGTGTCCATAACAAGCTGTGACGTCGCAGGCGTCAAGCAAAGACCAAAGGGCATGGCCTTAATCTCGAAGAGGCCATCTGGTGTTATGAACGCAGTCTTTTCCCGGTCGCTCTCATCTACTTCGATCTGCCAATAGCCTGTCTTAAGGTCCATCGATGAGAAGTATTTTGCATTGTGGAGTCGATCAAGGGCGTCGTCTATTCGGAGGAAAGGGTATACGTCCTTCTTTGTTATCTTGTTGAGTCGGTGATAGACAACGCAGAAGCGTAGTGTTTCATCCTTTTTCTTCACTAAAACCACTGGTGATGCCCATGGGCTTTTTGAAGGCTGGATGATGTCGTCGCGGAGTATCTTGTCAACTTGTTTCTTTATGGTCTGGCGTTCTCGCGTCGAAACTGTGTACGTACTCTGATGGAGTGTTACCTGACATTTTCTTCTATTACAATTTGATGTTTCGCGACAGGGGTTTGCAGAATTGTCGATGACGACGAAAAACAGTTCTTGTATTTCAGGAGCAGGTTTTTGAGCTGCTCTTCTTTATGCGTCGGAATCCTTGGATTAACGTCGAAAGGCGCCTGAAACGCCTGAGTCGCTGGAGTGCATTCGGCAGAATCAATGACGGCGAAAGCGTTGCTGGCTTCCAGTATTTCTTCGATGTAGGCAACCATCGTGCCTATGCTCACGTGCTTGTACTCATTGCTGAAGATCGTGAGCATCACTCTTGCGTTACCTCCCCGCAGCTCGGCTATTCCTCTGGCGATGAAAATTAACTGGTTGATCAACAGGCTCTGGTGGCCTTCAACGACGCCTTTCATGTCTGTTGATTCTTGAGAGCCGACGAAAATCCTGACGCTGGAGCGAGGAGAAACGGTGACTTGGCCTGCAAGCGCATTCAAGGCGTGCCTTCCTGACGGCGTGTGCAGCGGCAGCTCTTTTTCTGTAGATAGCGTTATTTCCTCAGGCCTCAGGTCGATGACGGCGCCATGCTGGCTTAAGAAGTCATCCCAAGTATCACATCCCTGGAGCAGTGCTGTAGAATTAGAAAGCTGGCGGGATAAGTCCGGTTACCGATGGTGACTCTTGCTGTGCAAACACCGAATGGTGTTATTAGATGACTCCCAGTAGTCTTGATTTCAGGGCCTTGCCAAGCAGTCTTCACTTTCTTCAACTTCGTCGCGAAAGCCCCACTAACAATGGAATAGTCGACCCCAGTGTCGACGAGAGTAGTGACGTTGTTGCCATTGAATATTACGTCGAGGTCGCTTGTTCGTCGTCCTGCGTTGCGGTTTGGACGTGGCGTCGGGTCATGGCTACGTCGGTTTGCTCCTCTGCTTCCACGCGGGGTCTTCAGGTCTCGTTCTGGTCGGGAAGTTTTTACTTCAGGGTTCTGTCCAGTTTGTGGCTTGTTAACGTTTCGTCGCGTCCTCAGCGGTGGCGGGTCTTCAGTGTTTCGTCGTTCAGCAACCGCACCTCCTTCGGTCGCTGTTCTTAGTTTTCGAGTATGGGCTCACTGAACAGCCCCTGTTGGGGCTGCTCTACTGCTATCATCCGTGAGGGGGCCTGTAAGGTCCAGGTTATGGCAAACGGGAGGAACGTCGAGGTGCCCGTTCTGTAGTGGTTAGGTAGTCAGCGATGTCGCGTGGTCGCTCGCGGTGCTTCGGGGGCGGTGCGTTGACGGCGAGGCCGCGTAGGCTCATTTAGCGGTACTAGCAGCAGCGGTATGTGTGGCCAGCTTCTCCGCAGTGGTAGCAGAGTGGGCGGTTGTCAGGAGCGCGCCAAACATCAGTCTTCTTCGGCGCGTAGCGCTGGGAGGCAGGTGGGTGGTACGTCGTAGGTGGAGGTGGTGGCACTGTCTGGCAACGAAAATGCGACGGTGCGACCTCTTGACGTAAACGTGGGGTAGAAGCGTAGCGTCTGGCAGCAGCAGCGTAGCTCATGACTTGGGGTTGCGGCTGCGCTGGCTCAGGCATGCCCAGCGAATGCTTATTTTTTTTTCTGACGACGTCTACGATTGACGAAACTTGAGGCTGGCACGATGGGAACACTCGGCAAAGTTCTTCGCGCACTACGGCTCTAATGGTTTCACGTAGACTGTCAGAGCAGAGAGGCTGGATCTCTGCTCAGCCTGGCGTCGAGCGGCGTTTGAATTGACGTGTGCATATTTCAATGGCATTCCCGATAGTCGTCGCTTCTGAGACATATTCTTGGACGCTGTTCAGAGGGCTCCGCATCAGTCCCGCAAAAAGGTCCTGCTTAAATCCTCGCATGAGGAGGCGGACTTTCTTGTCCTCGGGCATTTCAAGGTCGGTGTGATGGAAGAGTTTTTGTCATCTTTTCCGCAAAGAGCACCACGTTTTCGTTTAGCAGCTGCATGCGGTTTTCAAAGAGGGCTTCAGCCTTTTCCTTGCGGACCACTCTTGCAAAAGGGGCAAGAAACCTGGCCCAAAAAACGTCACACGTTGCCAGGTTTCGCTCTTGATTCTCAAACCAGGTCTGAGCAGCGTCTTCTAAAGTGAAATAGACATGCCGAAGCTTGTCGTCTTCGGTTCAGGTGTTGAAGATGGCGGCTTGGTCGAACCTCTCAAGCCAGCTTTCCGGGTCTCCGAGCGGAGAACCGCGGAAAGTTGGCGGCTCCTTAGGTTGCCAGAGCAGGAGCGGTGCAGGCGACACAGGCGATGTCATTGTGGCCATAGTCGCCGTGAACGTCTTGGTCTTCGGAGTCTTGTCAGGTATAAACCCGTCCTCTGGTGCCAGGCCTTGCTGGCTGCGGCTAATTCGCTGCTCATGGCTAACATCGAGGTCTTCTCGGCGACTTGGGCTGGGTTCACGGCTTGAAGGGGGCGTCAGTACATGAAAGCAGAACCTCCATCAGATGTCACGGAATCATGACGTGTACGAATGAAGCAGACTGTGGTTCAATTATTAAACTGTTTCTTTGGGTGAACCTGTGCCCGGTGAACGGAAGGTCTTGCACTGATAGCGGAGAATGGAGCGTTGGCAGTCGATCAACTGACAAGCGGCGAAGCGCGTCGGCATTTATACACTTGTCATCGAAAGTTCTAGCGTTATCGCCAGCGGCGACGTAGGTTCCAGTATCATGTGAAATGTTCACGAAGTGGGCGTAACCTTAAAAAAACGATCTATTGCGGCCTCGAAGCTCTTCGAACATCGTAGGCGTGGTTTGCGCTAAACGTAGTGTAACAGGGTTATAACAAATCTTGAGAAAAAGAACGTGGCAATATCTTGGATGTATACGCGTAAAATTTTATGGATTTACGAAGAAAATTTATGCTCGCAATTCAGCAATAGTTGAACAAAGATGATTTTGGTGTTTCGGCTGAAGGACGACAGATTTCACGGGTCACGTGAAAAAGAAAGTTGAAATGTGAACACAATGCGGTACTTGTACGTAGGCTCACTGGTGCGTAATAAGTAAGTAAAAAGAGTGCCGAGTAAAAGACTGATAACATGGCTCGTCCCGTCCTCATCGCCTGTGTTCCAATTTGGACCCTCTTCGTGTGAACACCTCTTCAAGGAATATCGGATAAACCGTTTTTCCGCACAAGAAACAGTGGTTGCCCCGTTTATTTAAGCATATACTACCCTATAATCAGCTGAAACCAGACGCTCAATGCGAAAAACAGCCACAAATTTATCGCAATGGCGAAGTAAGGCTAAGCAGTGTCACTATACAATAAAATAGCAATATATCATATTAATGAGGCACTTTCGAATATCTGTAATTTGCTATCGAGATACGTATGATAAATGTATTTTTACCTGAGTACGGAATTATTTTATGATGTGTCGAATAAATTGGAATACTTCGCAGGGTGCGGGTATCTCGTAACTTTCTTGTCGTAAATGCACTGAGTGTTTTCAAGAGGCAAATTAGTAATCCTTTTGTAATAAGCCAGGTGTATGAACGCGCACCCAGTTGGCAACCTTGGGAGGACGCAAATGGTTCACCTCACGCGCAGAACAGTCAATGTGGTACCACTCACAACTCACTGACGGCAGGATCTTCGGGGCACTATTGCCGGCCTCTGCCGATGAAAAGTGCCGTGTCCCAAAGCCAGTGCAGCCTCTGTGGGTGACCCATCATTTCACGAGTTTTCCAGTCTCGTTTTCAGGCAGCAGCTACCCGGCATAAAAAAATTCCCTTGTTGAGAAGAAACTGCGCAAAATAAGAGGATTATGTCCCGCATCTGGTGCGAGAAATGTGTCATGATGCCTTGTATTTAGACACGAACGGCATTTACAACACTCTACGTAGCACTAAAGCAGTAAAAATGAACTGCATTGTCATCTAAGGGGCGATGGACTTACTACACTTTTTCACAAAATTTTTTTCACCCAATATAACCTAAATACGAAAAATGCTCTTTTCATTTCCTGGCGTCACGCGCAGAGGTTTCTGTGTGAGTCCCAAAAACCAAACGTTTACCTTATGCCTGTACTTATGCCTGAACGTGAGCCACAAACGTGCTGCCCTACCCTCTGATTTTCCCTTCCCCTCCGGTAATAAGGCGAACGCCTTTTGTGGCCGCCTGCTGCAAACACAGCAATGCTCTCACAGTCGCCTATAGAGCAACTGTGATGTGGCGTTACAGAGCGGTACAGTAATGTCACGGACGGAGCGGTATGGAGGCGAGCATTCACTCGTGGTGAACGGCCGCAACACGTAGCCAAAGGCATGGCCTCCGAGATTACGTGCTGACACAAAGCTCTCAACTGAAAAGACAACGATGTTCCGGGCATACTTTTTCAAGGAGGCGTTGGCTCTATAATAAGAAACCTTTGATGGCTAAGTTGGTGACATTATGTTTCTCAAATCTCAATTTATCAATCATGTATTCATTGACTCACTTCAGGTAACTTTAAGCTGGGTAGGGCGCTTGGTCTGTACAGGTGACATGCCAAATTTGTATGATCATTTCCTCCAGGCCAACACTTGTTTACTATGTCTCCGTTGTCCGTTTCCCAGTGATGGACGCGATGGGCCGGCCACCTGCTGGAATGATGCAGGGACGCCTGAGCGGATACGGAGCTTACGACCAGTGCCTCGCCATTAGACACAACGACGGCATTTTTCAGGGAAAGTACTGCATGGTCCATCTCAGATATGATGGTGGAGAAATTCTTCCCAGTGTGAAAACATTGATAAAAAAGTTCGCCGACCACCTGGGATTTAAGGTAAGCATTGGACTTCATTTCAGACTGCTCAAGTCGAGTATGAAAGAGATAACTGTTCCACCTACTTTTGATGGGTTTTGGCGAACCTTGAGCAATACGTATTAGGAGGGCAGTAAACTTCGAGGTGTGAATAGGCTACTTCCTGTTCTGATAGACAACACTCTGTGTTATTAGTTATGCATCAAAACAGGCAAATTTGGCACTGCGTATGTTAAATCTCTTCATTCTTTACAAGTGCCCAAATAAACGTGATAATGTGACGCAAAGGATTTGCAGTCCTATGGTACATTCGATTGCCCATCTTCTACTGCTTTCACGATGCACGTCACGTACGGCTGTTCTCGGACCCAGCAATAAATCGAGCTCTCTGAACACATCCGGCTGCGTGGTTTCTTTAGAGCAATGCACTTAAGCTCAAAGCCATTAATCAGAAATAACAGCACACAGAGCCAAGCAGGAAAACATGCAGTTTTCAATTATGCCATTAAATGAACAAAGTAATGAAAATTGCATGTCAACGTCAAGTTTCTTTCAACAGATCAAAACGCACAGAGCTTTTTTTAGGGGGGGGGGGGCTATTTCAATTTTCACAATGTACTTTAGCTTTCAATTGCACTCTTATTTCTTACCACTTTGTGTTGCTATGCTAGCGCGCGTGCAGCTTGGATCTATGCTTAAAAGAGTTAACACCGCACCAGATCGATGCATGTCGTAAAGTAGTGATACATCGAACGCGCAGAAAAAAATTCAGGGCCACTTTTTTATTGTTCTTTTTGTTTGGGTAATGCCATTAACATTACTCGGACACTTCACGCACGGTGCTTGTCGTATACTACTTTCCACAAAATGCGGTCACTTGGTAGCCCACGATATTATCACAGAGCCCAAGGATGATGCGATGCCGGAATCGGGTGCACAGCGATTCCTTATACCAACTTGGGACACATGGTACCTATACCTCTTCATAATAGACATAATGTCTTAAAACCCATGTTAAAAGTTAAAAATAATCACCGCGTGAAATACGAATGGCAGTAACGTTGATAATAAGGTTGAATGCGTAGCCGATATTCCCCCCTTTTATCTCTATATCTCTACTATTGTTTTGTTCGTTTCCGACTTCCTACATAAAAAGTGGTGGAATACTTATTGTGCTGCTGCAATCTGAAGTAATTTTTTTTCGATCTCACCTTTGCTTGATTGTTTCTTAACTTGCTTTCGTTGGCACAAAATACGCATACTCAATTTATGTCAACGACCTCTTGGTGTTTCTCTCGTCGTTAGAAAGTATTGTAAGCTTCTCTGTGAAACTGCCAGAACAGCTGTTGGTTTATTTAGTTGTGTGCGTATAATTTAGAGTTGTGGTGGCGGAAGAGTGCAAAAGGTAGATTGTATTGAAAGTTCGTTTCTTCTCTGCTTAGGTGTTTGACGTAAAACGTGACCTGACTCTTGCCACATATTTGCAACAGAACTTGGCAAAGCAAATAATCGTGTACTATTCCTGGATACACCCGCAATGAATCTGACCTTTGCTTTTTTTTAGAAAGCAGGCAATATTTCGCTCATGTTCGACAAGGAGTTCATACCATTCGCCGCACTTTACAAGTTCGGGCTTTGTGTACCATCTCTGTGTGAAGCTGATGACCTACAGGCCATCATGGATCGCCGTAAGCACATGTTCTTTTCCTACCGCGTGCTTGTATACACCACCAGGCCAAAGCTCTCCGAACGATACAAATCAGGTAGCAAATCAGTTCTGTTTACTGCAACATACACAACCTAACTGACAATCAATAATACTACTCCACGTTCTTGCCTCCTGCTTCGCAAATAAACATTTCAGCCACTACAAACTGCAGTGTAACGGCGCCTCACTTTAGAATAGGTTTGGAAATAACCTAGCCACTATATCTCAGTTATAGTGTGGAGGGGGGGGGGAGGACGGGCAGGGGGTGAAAAAATGTCAGCTAACGTTGCCATTTTGAATAAAGCCTTTCTCATAACTAGATACATATTGATCGTTCTGAAGAGAATTTCGCAGATAGGTTTCCAGAAACACACGAATACTGATTTCCAGAACTTTGGAAATCTGGACGCCGATTCTTAAGTATATATTAAGCTTTTGTTGCGCGGTTGTGTTTTAGCACATGTCTACCACGTATGGTTCCAAAAAAAAATGCTTGAGTTCAGACATGTATATGTAGCTTGCGAAGATACCTATGGAAAAAGATTTTTAAATAGAGAATAAGAATCATGTCCGAGCCCGGCCGCCAGCGAGAGACCGGTCGGTCACATTTGGCTACGGACTACGTGTTTGATACCCCTGGTCTTTGGCATAAAAAACTGACTCCTTCACGCTTGATGCCAGTTAACAGCTCGAAAACATGTAAAGCACATAGCAAGAAGCACGTACGCTTCCGGTATCACGTGAGTGCCATGTGGTTGCAGTCGCGGTAAAGACAGTGGTGCGTGCTATGCGCACGTGGAGGACAGGGCTGCAGATCGATCTGGTTTAGATCAAGTCATGTCGACTATATATATATATATATATATATAAGAGGAAGAAGTGTATACCTAAGGGCTCGTTTTTCCGTGTTTTGAGACAATATTATTGAGATCTAACGGACAGTATTGCTAAAGAATGAACAGGGGAAGTTATTAGAACCAATGGAAGGTAAATAAGAAGAAATAAAAGTGGATGAAAAAATAACCAGCCGTGAGCAGAATCGAACCTACGACCTTCGAAGGACGCTTTCGATGCTCTAACCACTGAGCTACCACAGCGGCCTTCCCTCCATCCACTTTTTTGGGGTTTATATGTGAATTTAGAAGTAGGAGTGACAGTCAGCGCCATCTATAAGCCAAACGACAAGTCTGAAAACACTCTTGTGCGCATGTTTGGCGTCACGTAGCACATGAACTTATTATGAGCGGGCAGCTGATTAATTGTCCTTCTTATACAACCTAAACACACCAAGTCTGCCAGTACGAGACCCTCGTTCAATGAAATAAGGGAAAGAAGTGTATACCTAAGGGCTCGTTTTTTCGTGTTTTAACACAATATTAATGAGATCTAACAGACATTAATGCATTGATTTGATTTGTGGGGTTTAACGTCCCAAAACCACGATATGATTATGAAAGCCGCCGTAGTGGAGGGCTCCGGAAATTTTGACCACCTGGGGTTCTTTAACGTGCACCCAAATCTGAGCACACGGGCCTCGACATTTCCGCCTCCATCGGAAATGCAGCCGCCGCAGCCGGGATTTGAACCCGCGACCTGCGGGTCAGCAGCCGATTACCTTAGCCACTAGACCACCGCGGCGGGGCCAGACATTAATGCAGAGGAATGTATGTATATATATATATATATATATATATATATATATATATATATATATATATAGGCATGGTGGCGAAAATGGCCGTAGCGTTGCAATAAGTCAAGTAGATCCTCCAAGAGAACGGTAACAACGGAAGTGTTTAATTCGACAGTTTCGGCCAGAGTCTGGCCTTCATCAGGAGTCATGGTACATTCTGTTTGCGCTCACATTTATAGTATTTTGGGTAAAAAATGAGAGGGAAGGAACGAAAAAAAAAAAAAAAAAAAAAAAAAACAGAAAGAAAGAAAGAGTTTGAAAAACGAGAGAGGAAAGGATATCCAGAAAGTTCCAGGTTCCACTGTGCTTCGCGAGTGGCGTCGTCAGTGTGTATTTTCTTAGTATTGCGTTCAGTGCAGTTTGGTGGCGGTCCCTTTATTGTAGACGGGGCCTGGCTAAGGTAAGGGCTTGCGTGTCGCGAAAAATGCTTTTTTTATTATTATTTTTTTTTTATTTTTTTTTTTTAAAGACCGTCACTAATTCGGCGTCGGGGACAGCGTTCCGAGGCTCCAGGAAGTCGGCGCGGGAGAAAATGTTTCTTAAGGCGCTGTCTGTCGTTTTGAATGCTATTTTGCTCTGCGAATCCGCGTTTGGGGGTTTTAATTGTGTATGGGGTGGCCCTTCTATATGTCGGGCTTTGTTGTCGAAATGCGGGAAGGGTTTCCAAACTGCGAGAAAGGACGTTTGAAGTGATTGCTATTTTGTACTGGGAAACCGCGTTCGGGGCGTTTAGTTGTGTATGTGGATGTCGGGCTTTGTTGCCAAAATCGGGGAAGGGTTGCCAAAAGGCGAGAAGGGGCGTTTGAAGTGATTGCATTTTGTTCTGGGAATCCACGTTCGGGGCTTTTAGTTGTGCATGCGGTGACCCTTCGACAAGTCGGGCTTACAACTATTGTTCGGTTATTCAGAGAAATAGAAATAGACGACAGTGGTTCACTGAAACACGCAAAGATATTTGTAGTTGTCCAGTCCTCGTCGCCGCCACAGTGCCGCGAAATCTTGAACTGTTATGATTACAATTATAAACTTACATATACACACATACACCCCCATACATATGCGCATATGCATAAGTACATATACACATATAAATGCATATGTATATATTATAGTGCTTTGATTGCTGCAAGTGTACCCGGACTTTCATTTATGCCTTTTTCGAGGGTGTTAAATCGGTGTATGAGGTATGATTCACGTTGTTCACGTTCCCGGTTTGATTTAAATCCTGTTTCTAAAAGTGTGACTGACAATTTGTCGAAGGAGTGGCCGGGAAGGTTAAGGTGTTTTGATAGAGGTAGATTCGGCGCTGATTTCGCGTGGGCTCTGTGATTATTGAAACGAATCCTAAAGGGTGTTTCCGTTTGTCCGATGTATTGCATGCCGCACACGTTGCATTCAAGTAGATATACCACATTAGGGGAATCGCATGTTAGATTTCCTCGTATGTTAATTGAAAAGTTGGATTGTGTGCTGCTTGCCTTGCTTGTATCTCGCATCGCTTTGCATACAAAACATCGAGGCTTCAGACAAGGTCGGCATGAACTGTCGGAAGTTGAAGTATTGATTTGGGAGTTTACAAGTGTGTCTTTGAGGTTGCGTGTTCGTCGGTAAACGACGCCAGGAGCCGATGGGAATGCACGTTTTAGACGTTCACTTTGTTCCAGTATGTTGTAATGTCGTTTAAGGATTTTGTTAACGTTGGGGAAATTCGTGCTGTATGTTAAACATAGGTGTGTCTGTTGCAGGTTGTGTTGTGGTGGCCGCTTCATCAGAAGGTCATCACGCTGAAGTTTTCTAGCTTTTTGAATAGCGTCATCAATTACATGTGGAGGATATTTCTGTTTTTCGAGCACGAGTTTAAGCTTTTGTGAGCTCGCGTGGAAGTCAGTGTCTTTTGAGCAAATTCGCTTAAAACGGTGGGCCTGGCCGTATGGAATGCTGTTTTTACAATGGCGTGGATGATCACTTTGGTAATGGAGGTACTGTTGTCGATCTGTTGGTTTGCGGTAGAGGGTTGTGGAAAGTTTATCATCTTCTATTATTATGGTAACGTCAAGGAAATTTACGGTTACTTGTGAGTGGGTGTGTGTGAAGTGTATGTTTGGATGCACAGTATTGTAAGTATCGATAAAGTTTAGCAGTTCATCCTCGCTGTGAGTCCAAATAAGAAAAATATCGTCAATGTACCGCCTGTATAGGAGTGGTTTCAAGGGAGTTTGGGACAAAAATTCGGTTTCTAGTTCTCCCATAAAAATGTTAGCATAGTTTGGTGCGAGTTTGGTACCCATGGCGGTGCCGCTGATTTGTCGAAAGTACTCTTGGTTGAACTCGAATGAGTTCAGTTCTAATACAAGTCTTGTGAGGCTTGCGATGGCAGAGAAATCTGGGGTGTCAGGTTGTCTATGGTTTGTGTATGTGTTTTTTAATGCCGCTATGCCATCATCGTGGGGAATATTTGTATAAAGTGAAGACACATCAAGGGTAACTAAGTATGAGTGTTTCGGAATGCGCAGGTCTGCAATATCTCGAAGAAAATGTGAGGTGTCTTTTACGTACGACCCGAGAGTGCACGGAATGTGGCCTATTAATTTGTCTACGTACCCTGATATGGGCTCGGTTACTGTGCCTATACCTGAAATGATTGGTCGGCCTGGATTACCGGGTTTATGAATTTTTGGGAGTATGTAGAAGCGCCCTGGACGAGGGTGTACTGGCCGCATTAATTTGTGCTCACTGCGTGTTATTCTTCCCTCGTCCAACAGCTTCTTCAGTTCTGTTGCTACAATACGCGTGTATTTCTCTGTCGGGTCCCCTGGGAGGCGTTCGTAGAATTTTAAGTCGTTTAGTTGACGGTATGCTTCTTGTAGGTAGTCGGTTGTATTTAGGACTACAATTGCCCCTCCTTTGTCAGCGGGCTTTATTATTATATCAGTCCTAGATGTTAGGTTTTGCATACTCTTTTTCTCGGATTTTGTCATGTTTTCCCGCTTTCCCTTCTGTCTGTGATACTCCTGTAATATATCTTTCTGGACCGCGTTAATATATAAGTCCAGACACTTGTCTCGATGACTATTTGGTGTCCAATCGCTTGTTTGGTGGCGGGGAGTCTTTGGAATGTTAGACGGCTTGTCCAAGAAATATTCGTGCAGCCTCAATTTTCTAGCGAAGTTGTCGAGGTCTCGGAGTAAGTGAAACTCATCGAAAGATTTTCTAGTTGGGCAGAAGTTTAGTCCTTTAGATAATAGTTTTACTTCATCAGTTGACAAACTCGTGTCTGATAGGTTTAT